TGTTCTTCTCTCTCTCTCTCCTCCTCTCTCTCTCTCTCTCTCCCCCTCTCGAGCCAATAACGAAATTGCTATTGGTCATACATTACATCGATCGTATCGCGATAGATTAATGTGTACACACGCGGGACGATGTGTAAATTGTTTAGTCTCCGAGCAAACGCGCCGGACTATCTGGAGACACTCAGACGCAATATCGGTGCCGTCAATTTGTTTTGCATCTCGGCAATCCACACTTATTTTATCGCCATTGGTACATGTTATATATACTCGAGATACAAAAATGACGAGGGGAGGGGGCTCTGTTTCCCGTGACAGATTTCATCACGTCGAAAAGAAATACATTCGGGCCTTGCCCGTCACATCGCGTCCGTGCGCCGCGCTCCGTGTGTATTTATCGTGGACGAGATATGAGAGTGCCGAGCGTGTCGATCTATTTACCGATTCGTATATTTGCGTCGGACTTAAGTCGCGAACTCACTCACAGAGCTGATAAGAGGCTGATATGAATGCGCGACGATAATGTAAGCACGATAACAGCACGCGCAATTTCTCGCAACGCACGGCTTGACTCGAGGACTCGTTGTTTAACCCGAAATCGCTCTGTACATCGCGTGCATGTTTACCAATAGAAGGTCTGTTCTGCATACAGCTGCATCTCTCTCTCTCTCTCTTTGTACCCAAAATGGAATATAAATACAATTAAGCGATACACATATCTACACACAAATTAACCGCGAGAAAGGAAAAATAAAAACTGAAAAGAGAAAATACAGAAAGCGCAGCTGCGAAGAACAGACTTAATAATGCGCGCAATTTTTATTCTTACCTACCTGCGTAAACATGAGTGACGCACGATGAACGGATGATCCCCTCGGACCTTAGCAGGAGAGCGGTCTGAATTCGCATTCTTCTTTCCTCGTTTCTCATCCCGTTCTCCCTCGTTGTCGAGACTTCGGTCTCCGAAACTGACCTCTGCTTGCCCGCGGCCACTCGAGTCCTCTTTGTAACAAACAGGGTAACAGGATATAAGTACTCCGAATCCCTCCGTTCCTAGCCCATGTTCTCCCCCCGATTGTTCCGTCTCTTTCTCTCAAAAAGAGAAGGAACGAAACAATGTTTTTCTCTTTCTCTCTCTCTTTCTCTCTCTCTCTCGCGCGCGCGCTCGTTCTCTTTCTTCCTCTCTCGATCTCGCGTAAGCTCGTGCGCGCTTTTTTCTTTTGCTCCCTTTTGCCCGTTTCCTTTTGAGCCGTGCTCTCTTTCCTCGTCGGGTCGGGATCGGCTTCCACCAGCTCGTCGAGCGATTTATTACCCGACCGCCCTACCACAAACACACAGGACTGTTTAGCCCCGTTTTCTATCTCGTAAAGGGTAGGTTGGGGGATCGGCGGAACAAGAAGAGACGGAAAAAGATGGGGGGCAGGAAGAGGGGGAGAACGCGAGAAAGGCGAAGCCCGGTTACGGCAGGCGAGGAAAGTGGATCGTGGTCGTGTACACGCGGCCGCAAAAGTGCCGACGAGCCGGTTTTTATATATATCGTTCCGAGAGAAACGCCGAAACACCCCTGAAAAATTTATACGCTCTTTAATTAATCGTTATTAACGTTTCCGCGCGCACCCGCTGCGCTCGCGCAGCACGTTCGAACATGCGCTATATCGTAACTTTTTTTTTTTTTTCTTTTAATTAGTCAGTACAGATACACCGATGATATCCGACGAATTAAAATAATTTTATAATCAACGACGCCGTTAGCGCGGGGTTAACGACCCCTCGGCGCATTAATGCCGCGCGATTTCATTCGACCGCGCCGGAGTGTGAGAGGCGATAAAATTTTTAATAGCGATATAATTGTACATGTGAGAGCCTCCGATTTATCTCCGATAGAAGAGAGGAAGGGAGGAAGCGTGACAGAGAGAAAAAGAGAAAAAATGAACGGATTACGCGAGGTTTGCGCGATTTAATCGCGCTTCTGTCTCGCGCGACGATAATTTACGGCGTATCGCGAAGAAGAGAGGCGATGCCTCTCGTCGATCGCTCGCGATCGATAACCGGCTCTCGTCGATCGAAGCGTTTACGGCGAACGGAATCGTCGTCGGGACATCCCGGGCGTGCGATAAAGGCGCGATCGGCGTAGCAGGCGCATCGAGACGCGCCGGATTAAAACGCTGAGCGTGAATGGAGACGTTTTTCTGTAATGGAAGGCAGACCAGGCCCGTAAAGGGGGAATTCAAGCGCGACCACGGCGATCGAGCACCTGCCTGCAGCACGAGAGGGTCCCCACAAAGGGAGACAGGCCTCTGCCTGCCTGGAACTCGTGAAAATAATTCCTACCTTTCAAGGCGCGTATGCGCGCGCGAGTTATAAACCGGGAGTTACGTGCCCCGCGTGTCTCGCTTAACGCGACGGTGCTCTTCTCTTTCTCTCGCGCTGGCTTAAACGGGATCAAGCAGGTGTCTCTATTGTGAAAACGTATCTGCGGATTCTCTCGCTTCTCTCACAAACGCACGCGGTCGTCCCTCGATAATCTCTCCTTTGGATAATTTATTAGACGAAGGGCGCGCGACGATAACGTCGCCACGCACTTCAAAGGAGACTCTTCAAAGGGGCGTATAATTTATGTATTCATCGGACTTTTCTGATGAATTTGCTGCGCAAAACGCGAAATAATAACGTCTATTTTTCGAAGAAGCCGCACTCAATTTTGGAGTAGCGCCTAAACGTTTCATCCGCGCGCGCGCGCGCGATGAGCGATGACGTCCCAGCGTAACGAGCCATTTGCGAATTATCGTCCCTCGAGCACCGAAACCGCTCTCGTAGACTTTTAACATCGACGATGACTGGGCAATTGGTCGGTAATAGCGGACCTTTATTAGACGTCGTTCAAGTACACCTCGCGAGCCCCGCGTCCTTAAAAATACATATACGGCCGTCGTAATGAGCGCTTGTCCGACTGGCTCGTTTACCACTTCGCCTGTGCATGTATTATCGATCGCGTCGATTTAATATATACGTGATATCGGTGTATTAATTTCTAAAGCGTCAACTGGCGCGCGATAACCGTGCTCAGTGTTCTCGTCGACGGTAAATAACCGTTACAGTAAACATGGCAAATTTTTACCGCACATATGTAATAAACAATCTAAACATCGTAAAACATGCATTCGACGTACACATCAAGGTGGCAATGTTGCCTAACACATCATGCAGCGGTCATATTTCCCGGCGTATTGTTTCGTCCGATAGTCTCTCCGATTGGCGGACGGAAAAAAAATATTTTGCAACATTTTTTTAACATATTCGCGCGGGGCGATAAGAGTAAACAGTGCGTCATCGATCGTTCCACATTTCGTTTCGCGATGACTTACGCAACAGCGCGCGTTATCGGCGACGCGCGTGCAAAACGATTATTATTATACACGGCGGTACCTAAACGACGCGAAAATTTCGCGCAAGCCGAGTACGACGGCCTAATCTAGCGAGTAAATAGCGTCTGTTCCCGTTGCGCGCGCGCGCGCGGGGAGAAGAGGGAGCGTGATTCAAAGCCCGGCGTGACATAAATATTTGCCGACGGTAATACTTCATTCCCGCCTCCGGTTACCGGGGTCCCCGCGCATGCCGTCGTCGTACTTACACGCATGCGGGACACGTAGTAGTTATAAACATCGTCTATGCCTGCAGGTGACTGTAACAGCACGAGATAATCAATCCCCGAGTGCCTGAACTCTCCAGCCTATCTCTCTCTCTCTCTTTCTCCTCGCCCCTCCGTCCCGCCGCGTCCCGCGGGCGCGCAAATATCTCGTGCATTAATGAGTCATTATCGCCGTACCGTTATGGCATTCGTGCGTGCTCACGGGCAATGCATTACGAACCCGGGGAAATCTTTTCATCACCGTGCCGGGGGTTCGCCGCGCCGGGGGTTAATCCGGATAAAGATGGATAAGAACGTAAGGAGAGTGAAGGCACGAGGAGCGAAGGGGAAACGCTGGAAGCTAAATCCGCGGATGAATTCTACATTTAGACGAGTAAAAAGGTCGAAATTCGTTGCAGTTGCCGCACATAACGAGACGCGGCAAACTAGAGACACAGAAATATTTAATGAAGTATCGATAGGTATATATTTTTGCTCGTTCATTATATCGTATTACATAAACGTTGCCGTGTACTCTTTTTTAAAAACTGTTGCAAATTTTGCGATATAATATTTATCTATTTATTATTCGTGATGTACATTGCGAATAATTACGAAGTAATCAAAGCGTTCTGATTTTTCGCGAAAATGCCTATCGGTGAAACTAGTGGGCGTTGCATACGCGATGTCGGGCGTCCATCAGAGAGAGAGAAAAACAGTCGTTTTCACGTTTCGGTATCGCGATACTCAAGTACACCGCGAGGGGGATTGTTTGTTTTTAATTTGTTTCGCAAATACGTTTGGCGCGCGACAAAATTTAATGAATACTCCAAAGCGTTTGCCGCTTGCAATTTTGTGTCACATCGTATCGAGTCGCGCGCAATTTAATAACTCCCCGGGCTAATCGCGCCGAACGCACACTGGAGGGAAGAAGGAGGGGAGGGGGAGAGAACGAAAAAGTACGAGAGAGAGAGAGGGATTGGGAAAACGAATCGAATGTATTTTGGTCCGTGAAAAAAAAATTGAATTTCGCTCGCGTTTTATACGGGATGCGTTTCAATAACAAATACAATCGACGTGGAGCATAACGTTGCGGCGACCGTTGCGCAAAACACAAAAGATACGCAGCGGCGGAAAAGCAATTATCAGCGATCATTGCTTCCTATTCTGCTGTTGTTTCCGTGTAATTCCCGTGATAGAAACAAGAATTGCCGTGCGCGATATTGGCCAAAGATTTCGTGAGAATCAGCGATCTCTCGTCCCACTTCTCGAAACCCAGCTTATCGACGTCGCGTTTCAACGTCACGGCGCAATGGCATTGTCACTTTTGAGGGACTCTTAACATCTTTTCGAGAACGAAAGGCCACTCCGCGCGCCTGCTGCAGCAGATAGGCAGCCGACTCGGCCGAGTCGAGAGCGCTCGTATGCTCGCTCGCGCGGGAAAAATTCATTTGCGGCTCTTTCTCTCCCCCTCGTCTATCTCGAGGTCGAGGCTCCTCTCGACTTCTCGAGTCTCGAACACGTCGATTTCGTTGAAGCCGGGTCGGACAATGCGCAGCGTGAGTTTCATCAGAGAGCGATCTCTTTATTGTAGCAAAGTGTATCAATGTTAGTATGCGTCACGCAGAGAAAAGAAATATTTTATTCCGGCAACAAAATAACAGATTATCCACACGATATCCATACATTTGGCAATATATTTTTTAATCCCGTCAGATTCCGAAAGAAATAAATAAAACCGCACTTTTACGCTTCCATCGATTTCAGCGTGCGTTTCAATTAGAATCACGATAACGGGGAAAAGCGATCCGGCACTTTCTAATTTCTTGAATTAACGCGTGGAAGTCGCGTCGGGTGAGAGGTACGAGGGGAGGAAGATATCTAACCGAGCGAAACTTCTCCACCCCTCTGTCGAGGAGCGAAATCAACCCCCGCGTCTTTTTCGCGTCCCTTCTTCCTCTCTTCCACCGCACATTCATTCTCTCTTTCTCTCTTATCCACTACTTGCTCCCCTACATCGTCGATCCGGTTTCTCGACACCTCATCCCTCCATGCCGCCCGACGTGACTGGAGGTATCAATCTCACCCCCGTTCTCGACCCCTGGAAACGCCGTGTTGCCACTTCATTACCTCGTGCACCATAGTGCCGATGTACGGGTTTTGAGGGTGGCTGGAGTACAGTCCGCGTGGAAAATAAATCTCGCGCGCCGAGGATGGCGAAGCGGAATTCGTGGTGCAAAAGCGAAACTAGGGAAAAAATTTGCGTAAACAGAAAAAAGGAATTTTCCCATTTTGCAGGAAATTTTTTCCCCCGCAACTCAAAGAATTTCCGCTAATTATTATCAGTGCAAATATCTGCAAATAACGCGGCGAT